TTCCTGCACTTTTACTACATCATCTTACCGTTTTCGATATCTCGAAAAATGGAAATCGCATTCAGTTTCCGTTTTAGATTTAAAATGAACTACTTCCGGAAAAGTATACGCAGAGAAAAGTTAGTCTTTGAAAAATAAAATAAAACATACAACGGAGGTAGAAAAACGAAAGGGGGCTACTACCGTTTTGCCTCGAATGATTACGCTTGAGAATTCAGAGTTTTTCTTTTTTCTATTTTTTTTTTTTTTTTCGCAAGAAAAAAGGAAAATTTTTACAAAATGGAAATATTAGTTTTTGTTTTGTAAGATAGAAAAATTTACTATAAAAACTAATAAGAAATAAAAAAATTATTATTGAATATGTTGTAAAGTATTATAAAATAAAAAACTCGTGAAAAAAAATGAAATCATTATTCAATGACAACTAAAATCATCAATCGATCGATCAATCAATCAATCGTTCAATAAATCATGCACTGTATCTATCGAACAATTGAAAAAATTACTTTCTCTAGAGAAAAATTAAACAAATTTTATAAAAATTTAAGAATTAAATCATTTGATTTATCTTTTATCGATATCGTTCGTGTATATTCAAAGAGAAAAACTTTTCCTTTTTTTTTTTTTTTTTTTTTTTGGTACTTTTTACTATTTAAGAGAGAAAAAGGAAAATTTTATAATAAATAATGTAAATGAAAAAAAAAAAAAAATGCAATAAAAATTATAGAGAAAAGATGAACGGATAAGACGTCTTTAGGAGAAGAAGAAAAAAAAATGAATCGAAACAATGTGAACAGGAAAAGTGTGGCATTAAGCTTGTGAAAATTCAAAAGGGAAGAAAAGTCACCCCTGAATGTATCTTATATAACCATCTCACTTTTTTCTCCATTTCTCTCTCTCTCTCTCACTCTTTCCAACCCTTGACATATTCACCCTTATATAGTAATGTACTCACATTCAAAACATGTCGCATCACGGACCTCGTGCCATTTCAATCATCTTTCTGATTTTTAGTTCACCCTTAGAATGTGTGTACAAGTTAAAAAAAAAAAGAGAAGAATACATATTCACCCCTTGAATCCCTTAACTGTCTCTTTTGTATATTTTTCCATTTGAAAAGAAAAAAAAAAAAAAAAATTTTTAAATGAACTGAGAATTTATAAATAATAATAATAACAAAATGAAAAGAGGAAAATTTTTTTTTTTATTATTTTTTTTCATTTGAAGCGTGTGCACGCAATTGTTATATTTCGGGCCCTTTATTTTTAATTAATTAAATAATTAATTTTAATTTATAAAATAAATATTTTGGTAAGAAATTTAAAACCATAAAAAAAAAAAGGTGAAATTTTAGAGTTATCAGGTTTTACAATTAATATGGGATAAGAAAAGAGAATTTTTCACTATTTTTTTCCCTTTTTTTCTTTCCTCTCTCTTTCTCTCTTTCTCACTCTTTTTTTCTCTCTCTCTCTCTCTCAATCTCTCCCCCTCATCCTTTTTCTTTCTTTCTCTCTCTCTCTCTATGTGTATAGATATATATATATAAATATATATCGAAGGTTTTGGATAAAAGGCATGTGAACGAGATATAAATTGAATTTCAAACCACTTTTTATAGGCACTCTTTTAAAATAAAATAACAAAAAATAACATTTGGCTAAATTGAAAAAAAAAAAAAAAAAATTTTTCCTTTTTTTCGTTTTTACAAAAAAAAAACAATTTTTGAGTTTTTTTTCTTTCTCCCTAAAAAAATTTTGTAATTATTTTTATTATTTATATATTTTTTTTTAAAAATCAATTAATTATTTCTTTTTTCGTATAAAAATTTTCTTATTGATCAGAAGAAAAAAAAACTCAATTGAACTCATAATAATAACAGGATTTAATTTAGAATTTTTATCAAATTGTGAAAATTTAAAATAATATTAGAAAATATTATTGAATAGTAAAAATAAAATATAAAAAAAAAAAAATTTCTTTTCTTTTCTCTCAAGTTAAACATGATATTTTATTTTATGTTTTAAATTTTGAAATTATTTTTAAGTATATAATCATCAGACAAACTTTAAGAAATCAAATATTTACCCAAAATTAATATAAATTAATTTTAATGTTATTTTTTTTTTTTAAATTACATTTTTTTCAGTTTTAAAATTTTGTTTTTCCAATAAATTTTCCATTTTTTTTTTTTTTTTTTTTTACTTCACGAAGTCAAATTTTTACCCGAAAATAATTATTTAAAAAAATTTTTAAAAGAGACCGTTAAATAATTTTACTTAAAAAAAAAATTTTTTGTTTCTAAATAATCCAATTTGATGACGTAAATAAAAGCCTAATACATAATAAAATAAATAATAAAATATGAATTTAATAAATGTCTTTTAAATTTTTATTTTCCCTTTCCTTATAATAAATAAATAAATTATTTTGTTTAAAGGAATTTTAATTAATATATATTTCTTGAAATTTAATTCAAAATCTTATTTATATCTTTTTTTTTTTTTTTTTTAAGAAAAAAAATTTTCTTTCATAAAAACTTAATAAAAAAATTAAAATTTATATGAAAAAATAAATATTAAGGGGTAATTTTTCCTTAAATTTAAAAAAAAAATTTTTTTTAAGTTAGTTATCAGTACAATCAAGCAAAAAAATATGAAAAAAGTTTTAGTTTAAGGAAAATGTAATTTTAAATGAGTAGTTGATTTTTAGTTAATGGCAAAAAATTTTTTTCACTACCATAGACTTTAAAAAATAATAAATTTTATAAAAAAATTAAAATCAGAAAATATTTATTAATGTCATTCATTTAATTAATCCTCATTATTATTATTTATTTTTAATCATTGGGTTTTTTTTTAAAATTCTTTGATGAAGTATTTAAAATAACTTTAACTGACACTTACCTAGAAAAAAATTTTTTTAATTAATTAACATCCTATATGAAAAAAATGAAAAAAATATAAATTCAGGCCTGATTACACGTTCAAACTATTAATTAAATGATAACTTTTATTTATACAGATTGTTCAGCACAAAAGCACTATTCAAGAAATAATTTTAAAAAACCTTTTCCTTCAGCAAAAAAACAATCATTCTCTACTGCATTAGTCTGACTGTCATTTGTTCAGGCTCATTTGAAACTATTCATATTGTACGAATAAAAAAGGGGTTTACCTCTGAGGAGAAAAAACTGAGACGCAGAGCTTCTGTATACGTTTAAAAATAAAAAGCTACCGAGTAAAAAACCAACTACTCTCATTGGACTTCTAAGATGAATATTGCCTTTGCCTTGCTAACATATTTAAATTCTACCATTTAAAAAAATTTAAACAGAGCATGAGCTATGAACAATGTCCGTATCAGCGTGTAAGCTAATTCAACTCTTTTTTAACCCTACATTTTTTAACTTTTTTACCCCTTTTTTATTTTAGTTAAAAAAAGCTACATCCAATACTCTTTAAAGACCACATGAATTCTAAAAAGAGTATCAAAAAAAAAAAAATTTGTAAACTAATACTTAAAAATACTAAATCTAAACCCATCTTTTAATATTGAATAGTACCTAAAAAAAAATTTTTTTACCATTTAAATTTTTTTTTTTTACTTCTATAATCTAAACAGAGAACATAATATTCACCCCTTTTTTTAACCCTTTAATATAAAAAAATAAAAAATAAAAAGAGGGTAAGGTTATGTATTTGAGTGAGGGTAAAAAAAAATGAATGACTCCAAGTTTTTCATAGCAAATTAAATTAAAAGTAATTTAGAATTGTAAAAAAATGATTAATAAAGATATTTTAAGAAAAAAGTTGATAATAAAAGCAATACTTGTTTTTTTCCTACCAAATTACAATTACTATTTGTTTTGAAAAACATCGGACATTTTTGTTTTCATAGATAGAATAACTATCGCGGAATTTCTTATTCTATGCTTTTCAAACAGTTCCATCGCTTTTTTAGGTTAGTTTTTTTTTATTATTATTATTAGAATTTCTGAATTGGTCATATTTCCTTTTCTTTTTTAAATAAATTTTAAAGAAAAGAATTTTGCTCACTTTTAAAATTATTTTTTTATGCAGTATGGTTCAATATTATTTAATTAGGCATTAGAAAAATAAACCGCCTTCTATATTTTTCCGTTATTTTATTTACTTTTTTAAATTAATTGTTTCCTGTTATTTTTCAAAACAGGAAAATTAATCTACTAGGATAAAAATATTTTTATGAAAAATCATTTTTAGTTGTACATTATTTAACAAAATTTAACTTACAATAAGGCTTTAAATAAAAGTTCCATAAGCATATTCTATTTTAGAATTAATTAAGCAAACATGTAATATATTTCCAATAGCTTTGGTTTATATAACAGATTTTGTTATGTAAATGCTTTTATTAACAACAAAATATAAAAAACTGTAAGACACTTTAACTAGTTTAATAGTTTTACAAAAATTCCAAAAATTAATGATTTTCAAATTTAATTTTTAGAGATGCTAAAGGTGATGCTTACTTAAGTGATAACAATTTAAAGTGTAACTTTAAGATTTACTTTGCAACACTGTAAAAAACAAATGAAATGTACATTGTTTCAGTAAATATAATTATATATATATATATTTTAATTTAATAGCCTTCGAAAAATTATTATTTAAAATAATATTCGAGTAATATATAAAATTTATCTATCACCCCAGTGCAAAATAAAAAAGGGTTAAAAAGTTTGTTGCATTATCGAATGTTTGTAATAAAGCTGTGGCTAGTAAATGTAAAACATTTTTAGAAAAAAGAGAAATTTCACTTAGGTTAGAAATAATAATAATAAAAATAAAAAAAAAAATTTCGACATAATTAAGGGCAATAATAATTTAAGCAAATCACATCTTGTTTCAGCTTTTTTTTTCGAGATTTATCAAAGCAGGAAAAAAAAACAGATGTAAAAGAAACAGATGAAGAAAGTTGGGGTGGATCAGAAGCATTTAAGTTAATTTTATTTTTAAAAGATGACTTTGATAGCCAAATCAATAAACATGAGTCTATTTTAGTATTTTTTTCAGCATCTTGGTGTCGTCATTGCACCCAGCTGAGAAAACCCTATGGTACAGCAGCACTAATGTCAAAGGAGGCAAATATTCCAATGGTATTTGCTAACTATGACATTAATTATAATCCTGATTTTGCACAGGATAAAGGTGTAGTTGGAATACCCATTATAAAGTATTATAAAAGAGGAAAATTTATTCTTAATTACCAAGGAAAACGAACCAGTGAGGGCCTTTTTGAATTTGCCAAAAACCCTTCAATGAAGGTAGCTCCATTAACAAAAATTGATTTTTGAATTTTTAAAAGTTTATTAAACTAAAGTGTTATTACTACTTACAACGATATTAAAAATATAAAAATCGTAAATATAAATTGAACTGTTAAAAAAAAAAAAAAATGCAAATAATAAATTTTGTTTCTTTATTTAAACCGTTCAAATGGTAATTAATTCTTAGAAAAAAAATAAAATAAAATAAAGTTTAAGCAGAAATACACATTAGGTATGTAAGTGAAAATTAATTGTTTATGTTTGTTGGCAGCACTGTATGCCGTATAGAATTATTGTTTAAATTAAAACGCAGTAAAAATTTGTCTCCTTTTATTTCTCATGATATTTATCTACCGTTAAATATCATGTAAAACATTCTTTTTTATTTTTATATTAGGTATTTATTTTTAAAGGATCATATAATTTTGAAAATTATAATGAAATATTTTAACAAACCTAGGTGAATAAAATGAAAATACTAAACACTGTATGAAAATATTAATTTAAGACTAAATACATAATCTCATTTTTCTAAATATTGCCTAAAATTAAATATAAAGCAACTGTTAAAACACTTTAAACTAAATTTTTCTTTTTGACAGACATTTTCTGTTAATTTTTAAACGTGTAAATGAACCTAAAAATTTTAATAAAAAAAAAAAATGATTCTCATTCTGAGGTTGTCTGATTGTTAAATACTTAGTTTTATTTTTAATTAATTAAATTATAAAAATTTTGCAATTATTAATTTTTTTTTCTTTTTAATTAAGTTTTTTAGTGATTCTAAGAACTTTTACTTTTGGAATGGCTTGGAGATCTCATGGCAGAAATAATTCAGATTTAGTAAAAAACTTAAAAATCAATGGAGTAATAAGATCAGATGTTGTAGAAAATATTATGCTCCAAGTTGACAGAGGAAATTATTCTAAAGCAGCTCCTTATATGGATGCTCCTCAAGGGATTGGTTATGGTGTAACCATTAGTGCTCCTCACATGGTCTGTGACAAATTCAAAAACAAAAATTTTGATGCTATGAATACCATATTTTAATTTTTATTCATTTTAGCATGCACATGCTTTAGAATTACTCAAAGATCATTTAACAGAAGGGGAAAAAGCTTTAGATGTGGGTTCTGGATCAGGTTATTTAACTGTTTGTATGGCATTGATGGTTGGCCAGGAAGGAAGGGCTGTAGGTATTGATCACATTGCTGAACTTATTGATACTTCAACAGAAAATGTACGAAAAGATAAACCAGAACTTCTGGATAGTGGAAGAGTTAAATTTGTAGGTGAGTTTAAGTTATTTTTTTTTAAAATCTAAAAATCTATTTTGTGAAGTTTGAGACTTCAATTAATTTATAATTTTTTAATAAAAGTGGGAGATGGTAGAAGAGGATATCCTGATGATGGTCCTTACAATGCAATTCATGTTGGAGCTGCATCACCAAATCTTCCACAGTCTGTAAGTTTTTTTTTCTTTTACACAACATATGAAGGCAATTATTTTTCTTTTACTCTTTTTATGATTATATATATTTTAAATAAAGGTAATTTTTTAAGCTCATTGATCAGTTAAAGCCAGGTGGACGTTTAATAGTGCCTATCGGTCCAGAAGGAGGTAATCAAAATTTAGAACAAATAGATAAAAAAGCAGATGGAAGTTTTACACGAACACCTCTGATGGGTGTTGTTTATGTACCACTTACAGATAAAGAAGCCCAATGGCCTGGAAGGTAATAAATAGGTTTTAAAATATATATATATATATATAAACTTACATATAAGCATATAGTAGAAAATGAAAAAGTTTAAAGAAATGGAACCCATTGATTGTTAATAATATCCCTTCCATTATTTCTGCAGTGTAAGTTCAGCAGAGTCTGAATTTATTGTTTTAATGCGGAAATCCGTAGCGGCCGTACCAGAATCCCAGCATGATTTTTTCGAAGAACCCATGACTGAATTTGAAAGAGATGTTGATCCAAATGTTGGATCAAGTAAAAATGTACCCACTAGTTCAAAACCTGCAAAAACTTCTAAACCCCAATAGATAATTTATTAATTTGCAAAGATAAACATTTTTTTTTTTTTCTAAATTTCTAGTTTCAATTGGTTTCCATTTCTATTTTTTTTTTTAAATTTATAAATTTTACTTTATAATTTTTTTTAGCAATTTAAGTTAAATATTTTATAGTTTATAAATAAAATTTTTCGAAAGATTGACATTTAAATTATTTATCCTTAATAAATAGGATAAAATTTACAATTGTTTTTTTTTTTTTTAATTATACATTTTCAGCCGAATTCCAAAACACGACGAGTTTTAAACAAATTTAAATTTCAAGACCAAATCATAGGCGGGTTATTGAATTTTCGGTAAGAGTACAAAACTCAATAATTAACTTATTATTATTTCCATACAATATGTGCACATTAATTAAAATAATTTTTCAACCCTGTAAGAAATACTAAAAATTTTTGTAGTGATATAATAATAATGTGTGTGTGTGTGCGCGCGCGCGCGTGAATGAATTATAACCAAAAAAAAATTAAATCATTTAAATTTCATTATTTAAATAAAACTTTTTTTCTTTTTCAGAAATCTATGTTGTGCTGTTAATTGAAATAAAAATAATATATATACGTCGCTGATAGAAAACAATCCGAGATTAAAATAATAAATATCTAATAATATAATATATATCAAATTTTAAAATTCTTAAATATATGTACATATATATAATAATAATGATTAAAAACAATGATAATTATAATAATAAAAGATATTCATCTGTCACTGAAAAAATCTATTCATGATATTTTGTTCGAACTTGTTGGATTGCCTTTAATATTTTCCTTCGAGGACCAAATTGCCTAAACAAAAAAAAAAATTATTACTATCATTTCGGATTATAGTTTGAAATTTAAACTGCAACTACAATTCTAACTATTCTTATTCATTTTCTGCTTTTTGAAATTTCATTATAAATTATGCAATATAAAATTTATTAAATTTAATTTAAAATATATCTATATATTATTTTATAATCATAACTATAATTATTCTAATATTGTATATATAAATATATCTTAAAAAATTGATTAAATAAAATATTAATAATATACTAAAACTTATTTATTTGTTATTTAAACTTACGTGATACCCAAATCCTTTAAATTATTTTCATTTAATGTTAATAGAGTCTCAAAATCAACTTCTTCATCTTTAAATATCTGCCAATATTTTTCTAAACCTATTGCTATTAAAAATTGTTGTACATCATTAAAAGTTTTAACTTGAGGAGACCAAAATTTTTTTTTCGAAATTGATAATTTCCATGGAGAATCAATTACGGAACCTATTGAAGATGCTTGAAGACATTTATTAGGAGAATATGTCAAACTTTTACCTATTTTTATTTGACCACTTATTTTTTTTTTAATTAGTGTTGGTGTACTAATTTTAATATGAGTTTGGTCATTTATAATCGGAGAATTATTTACTGTAAATTTTAAAACGGAATTCATTTCACCATTTAAAACATTTTTTTGCCTTAATAAATATTCATTTTTTTTTTTAACCATTGATTTAATTTTTAAATTATTTGATTCATTGGCCAACATTAGAGCTGATTCTTGTTTAAATGAAACAATATTTAAATTTGTTGCAGATTGTAATATTAGCTCAACCATAGTTTCTCTTCCTAATTTGATTGCTGCCATAAGTGGAGTTTCGTTTTGAAAATCCCTAAAAATAATTGAAATTTGCAATATATGTTTATGCATTCATTATTTTCAAATTAAAATTCTCACACAATGTTAACATTGGATCCTTTATTAATTAAATAATTAAGGCATTTCTCTCTGGTAAAGTGAATTGCATAAAATAAGGCAGTCCATTTTCTATAATCAACTTTTTCAATATCAGAGCTATCAAAAATTAATTCGACTGTTGAAATATTTCCACTGCTTATGGCCAGCATCAATGGAGTGACACCAGATGTGGTTTTACAATCTTTTTTGGCTCCAGTTAATAATAAATAATTAACTAAAAGTGAACTACCTCTAGCGCAAGCATACATTAAAGGCGTCCAATTTCCCGAGTTATTATTGCAAATTTCGGCTTTAAGTTTTCTGTTAAAAAAAAAAATATTGAAAATATGTTAAAGGCAAAAATATTAAACTCTGAATAAAATAAGTTCAAGTTCAAAAAAATCACTTATAAAACATTTTTTTTCTTGCCCGACATCATATTTAACAAAAAATGAAACATCTCCCAAACTGGCAGCCGTGTGTATATCCATATTCCAAAAATTAATTTGTTCGCTATATATTTTTGATTGATCACTAAAACTATTATTAGACATTTTCGATTTTATGCAGCAGGTTTTTTTATAAAAATTAAATTACAGAAAAAAAAAGCAGCGTTATTTATAAGCTAAAAAAATAATTTAAAAATATTTTTAATACATGTTTAAATTAATAAAAATCTATCGAGAAATAAATTTTATTAAAAAAATGTTTCCGTGATAAAATTCCGTTAAAAACTTTCCATTGTAATACTTAAACTTGGTGCACGAGAAGAGTGTTTCAAAAAAAAAAAAAAATGTTCAGTTGGTATCACTTAAATGGCAGCAGTGGTTTTCAATAAAGCTGCATCTTTTACAGATCGTATAGTTTATATTAATTACAAATTTTTGCCGAATTTATTTTATTGACATTTACCGATATGGCTGAATATTTAGCATCAATATTTGGTACGGAGAAAGATAAGTATGTGTTTAATTTACAAAAATTAATTTCTTTTATTTTAAATTTGCTTATTCTGCAATTGTATTTTATTTACTTGTTTTTCGGTCAAATTTTTAACATTTTCCATAAAAAAAAAAAAAAAAAAAAAAAAACAATATTAAAAATTATTAGTTTTGACAATTAAGTAATAATATCTTTTCTGACAAAATTTGTTAATTTATTCTTCGTTTTTATATATGCGCTAACCGCCATAATTTACAAAAATTAAAATTAATTTTTTATTTCAATATGAAGTATTACAGCTTTATTTAGATCTTGATCATTAAATTGCATATTATTTATCATTGTCAAAAACTTACAAGTATGTTTATTCTTATAATCAATGCATGTGTGTTTTATCTGACCTATTGAAAATCATTATCATTTTAAATTTTTATATAATTATTTATATAATTATGTAATAAATTTAAGTAATTATGTGGTACATTTTATTTTTAGAGTCAACTGTTCTTTCTACTTTAAAATTGGGGCCTGCAGGCATGGCGATAGATGTTCAAGAATACATAATAAGCCTACATTCAGTCAAACTACTTTACTTCAGAATCTTTATGTTAATCCACAAAATTCAGCAAAATCTGCTGATGGATCTCATCTTGTTGCTAATGTCTCAGATGAAGAAATGCAAGAGCATTATGATAATTTTTTTGAGGATGTATTTGTTGAATGTGAAGATAAATATGGTGAAATTGAAGAAATGAATGTGTGTGATAATCTTGGTGATCATTTGGTCGGTAATGTCTATATTAAATTTAGAAGAGAAGAAGATGCAGAAAAGGCTGTAAATGATTTAAATAATCGTTGGTTTGGAGGACGTCCTGTCTATGCAGAGCTTTCTCCAGTTACTGATTTTCGTGAAGCCTGTTGTCGTCAATATGAAATGGGTGAATGCACTCGATCTGGATTTTGTAATTTTATGCATTTGAAACCTATTTCTAGAGAACTTCGTCGATACCTTTATTCTAGAAGAAGAAAAGGAGATCGAAAACGTTCTTCGAGATCTCGAAGCAGAAGTCCAATTCATAGAGCTGGATTTAAAAGATCTCGAAGCAAAGACAGAGATTCAAGAAGGCGTTCTCGTTCAAGAGATCGATCTTCTAGAAAAAGCAAAGATGATAGAAGAGACAAAGATAGAGATAGTCGTTCTGGACGATATTAATTTGCATGATTTTTTTTTTTGCATAATCTTATGTTTAACTCTAAACAATGTAATATTGAAATATTTTAATTTAAAATAAGGTTTTCTATCATACTGAGTTACAGAAATAAGTCATTAATTTAAAATTTGATAATTATATCATATTTTTAAAATAACATATTAAATAAATGTTCTATCAAAATTAAATATATAAGAATAATTTTTATTTTAATCCTTGATGTATTTTATTGTCTTAGTTAAGTTTTATTTTTATTTTAAACGAATAAAAACTTGCACAACCACCTGATTCCTTTGATTTCCCATAAAAGATTGGACAAAATTATGTAACCGTACAATGCTTTAGCAGCAGTATTATTACTAGTTAAGTACGTTAAAAATTCTAAATTATGTCATATATAAACATAATTTTTTACATCGAAAAAATATTGTATAGTTTTTACCGTACATTTTTATTTGTTTCTTAACACATTTTTAGAATCTTGCAAATAATTTTTATTTTCTTTTATCTTCTTAAAAACTTAAATCTTAAATTTTATTTTTTATTACTCTATGACATTATTCTTCGTTATATTAGTATTTCAGATTAGATTTATTTATTATTTAAAGCTTAAATAAACTACTCTTTAGGTTACAACACGGTAGTAATTTAAAAATTTTGTATTATTATTTTAAAATAACTCACAAGTATAAAATGATAAACACCTCAAATTCAACAAATGTTTTTAAATTTTGTTATAAATTACAATTTTTTACTTTTAAAGAATACAATAAATTTCATACCGCGAACGTGAGTAATAAAGAATGATTTTACAAATTACCATTTTTTTAATTTTTATTAAGAAAAAATATATATATTCACATTTTTTATTTTCGATTAAAGTTCTTAAACTGTTAAATTATAATGTGGCCATGATTTACAGAATTTAGGTTATAAATTTCATGATTACATCAGTGATGGAAGCGTTAAATCTCCACTTTGGTTTACGAATTTACCCAGTAAAAAAAAAAGGGCACGTTCTTTAATTGATAAAAAAAAAGTTAAATTAAAAAAAGAAGGAATTTCATCAGCAGTTAGTAAAATAATTAATTACATTATTTATAATATTAAATTTTAACTTTAAATTTGTCATTACTTCTATGAATTTAAAATTTTAGCCTTTACTAATAAATTGCAAAAATTCAAACCTAAACCATCATAAAAATACTCAATATGGCAAATTTGATTTTGTACCACTGGTTTCAAAAAGCTGGCATAAATATAAGTCGAATGGAGATCATTTTACTGTTTTACCAACAACAGGGGTAATTAATTGAATATTTTTTATTTGATGAAATTGATAATCGATTTCTATATTTTCAAATTTATTTTAGCATCCAGCTTTTATTAATAATTCCATAAACTCGACATTAAAATTTGAAGAAATGGGAATTTCTTCACCTTTATTGGAACAGATAAAAAAAATGGATTTTTATCAACCAACTGCAATTCAGGCTACAGCACTCCCAGTTACTTTAGAAGGTTTCATATAAAATTAAGTTAAATTGTAATTCT